TCAACGCTTGGTGAAAAAAGCAATAGATCCCATCTTCACTGAAGAGGATTTCAAGGATACTAACATAACTACAAGTCGGTCTATTTCTTACTCTGTGCTCCTTGTTATATTATATGATACAATTATGATGAGAGATGCTGTTTTAATTTGTTTTCTTATTGAATTTCTACAATGGTCATAATTCTTATACTTTATACATTTAGATTGTATATTGAATTCTTAAGCGTGGTGTGACAGTGTTAGTTATATGTATTCAAATCCAGTGGCGAACTTGCTTTTATTTTCCACTCAACAACTTTACCATAAGTAGAAAACATACAATTATATGACAATGAGTAGCTTTTCACTACATTCATATAACTTGTTAGATGTTTCTCATAAAAATCTGACCTCTGCTTACTCCTAACATATTGGTGAGTTGACCAATTTTAAAGTAATATTTGGTTCTTTCAGTAAGAGAAATGGCATGGAAAATTTTGGAAATGAACAATATTTGATGCTATAGAATTTTTTTTATCGTGTTACGCGCAAAATGTTGGTCCATTTGACTTTCAGGTCATAAATTCGAGTTTTCTACAGAAATTGTTTGTTAACTCGTTAAGACTATCCAATGTTACATGCAACCCATATTAGAATTCTTTCAGATATTCTGATTGGTCACTCTCCTGAGACTTTTATGACAAGTGTATTACAGTGATTTAAGCACGGGTGAGGCGGCTCTAGGCTAGAATTTCCCCGACATTCCGTGGATCATAGTTTTTGATTTGTTGTAAACAATAAATAGGTTGATTTGATGATATTGCTTCTCCAACACTAGCACTTGGACCTATTAAAAGTTACTCGTTCCTTGCAATACACTAACTTACATTTAGTTAAATATGTTTTATTAAGATTTGTTTATCTGATAGCTTTTTTCCTGTGCAGTGGTGAAATGTCCCGAGTGTCATCACGGGGAAGTTAGTTGTCGACAATTACAAACAAGGTCGGCAGATGAACCAATGACAGAATTTTATAGGTGCACCAAGTGTAAATTCACTTGGAGAGAAAACTAGAACTCCATTGCATGCATACTTAGTCAATTAAGTTACAGATTCTGTTTATTAATGTCAGATTGTAATTTATTTTGTTCCAATTATTGTCAGTTTGATCCAGCCTCCTACTTAGTGTATTTTTTTTTTTTGTGTGCCGACACTTGTAGCACCTCTCTAATGAATTATGTGAAACAAAATGAGAAGTTTTTGTGCTGGTTTTATCAGTTGTTTGGTTTATAATAAAATGAAAAATTGGATATTAGTATAAATTAAATTAAGATGAGAGCTACATGAAATATCTTTATGATCCTGAATTTCATGGTATATTTTGAACACAGCAAATCGACATAATTCAATTAAAAAATACTATATCATACAATAACTAAAACTGAAGCTATTGTAAGTGTATCTGAAAAACAGAATTCAATATTTTTTAGTTTAACATCACAATACTCAAACAAGCAACACAATTATCAAATTGACATCAAACCAAACAAAAGTTAAATTGCCGCAAAAATTCAGAAAAATAGTCCGCCACTCTCAATTTCATTCTCACTGAAAAAACAAATGAGAAAATAAAAAGTTGATAGTTGATGCGGTGAACGTGGATCGAACACGTGACCTTCAGATCTTCAGTCTGACGCTCTCCCAACTGAGCTATCCCCGCTTGATATCTAAAGAGCGATTATTGTTTTTATAAATCTGATGATAACTCTCTATACACAGCACGTGTCTAAGATAACAGTGTAATTATTCTCCTTAAATTGCCTGGTTTATATGGAACATTACATTAGAATTAGATGCAATGTTCTTGATTGATTGAAGAATAAAATTAAGTAGAATATAAGTTCAAACCGCATAACTCGAGTAGTTAATTAACTTAAATGGGTTTTTGCTGAGTATAATTAAAGAGGTCATAAGGTGTAAACATGCTATATATCATGATGGTGTTTGGAAATTATTATTATTGTACCAAAAAGAAAGATAAGTATTAGTAGAATTAAGCAAACTGTATGTTTGGATAAAGGACAATGATTATTCTACCAAAATGTCACATTAATTTAAGGGAGTATTAATTTAACAATAGATAAATAACTTTTTAAAAAGGGATGAGAGCACTGTACCCGCCGGAAAGTTTAAGTTTTTTGTAGTTATTTACCTCTTACTTTGAATTAAGCACATAACCTCTCTCAAAGATCAAACAATGAAACACCTATGGGCCTGTTTGTTTGGCGTTTCCCAGAATTTTTTCGTGTTTGAGAAATGCCAAACAAACATGTTTTCTATTTTCCGAAATAAATTTTTCATCCATTAATTTTCTCAAACTACTCTCTCAAAAGACAAACAAACAACAATTTTTTTATCTCTAAGAGCATCTCCCATGGTACACCAAATCCTATTTTTTTCACCTAATTTAGATGTTTTTAGCCTCCCACCCTAAATCACTAAATCACCATAACACCAAAAAATATAGGGATTTTTTTTTAGCCTCCCATGGTGGTCAACCACCATTTCACCATTTCACCAAATCCTATTTTTACACCAAATTTTTTGGTGAAGGAATTTACATCTCCCACCATTCCACCATTTCACCATTTTTTACACCAAATCCTATATTTATCACCAAATATAGGAAAAGAAATAGGATTTGGTGTAATTGTCCCTATTTGATTAATTAACATCTAATTGCATGATTAGCAACGTATTGACATGTTTATTATGATTTATATGTATTTAACTATATTTTAAATATTTTATTGGCTTTTATTAAATATTGCATTAATTATTATTAATAAAAAATTATTGTTAGTAAAAATAAATATTCTTTACACTATTATTAATTAATTCTATATTTTTAGGTATAATAATCAATTAATTTATTGATTTTTATCAAATAAATACACTAATTATCATTAATAATTAAAATTCAATAAACGGCAACAAATCCTTTAATGAAATACATTGTTAATAAAACGAAAATAAGCTACATTTATATTATTAAACCTAAATAATACATGAAAATAAAATATATGACGACAAACTCCTTAATGAAACACACATTTAATTAAACAACATTAAACAACATAATGAGTTACGATGAACTAAGAAGACTGGCCGGCATCGGAATTTGATAAATCAAGGAGAGCACAATGAACTAAGAAGAAGACTGGTTGCACACTTGTGGGATAAACGTAGCCAAATAGGTGATGATGACGATGATGAGTGAGATGTTTTGTAATGAGTTACGATTATTTCGTTTTGCAATGTTGTTTTTTCTTTATTAGTTTGTAATGTTGTTTAATTATGCAAGTTATTATGAAAATGTTGTTTATGTTATGATTTTATTATATGTATAACATTTTGAGTTAATTGTATTACATGTTTTAATGATTTTTCATAACTTATATAGCATAAAATTTAATTAACATAGTTATAAAAATTTAATACTTTTAAAAATGATTTGTAATTGTAAATAGCACTTTAAAATTGATAATATTGTATTGAAAATTTAATGAAATAAAATTATGATAAACATCAAATTTATTATTTGGTGACACATTTGGTGAAATACCATGGGAGATCAAACCAAATCCTATTCTCTAAAAATGGTGAAATGGTGAAATATTATTATTTTATAATTTGGTGTAAATTTTGATGAAAACCATGGGAGGCCAAAAACACCATTCTTTCACAAAAAATGGTGAAATGGTGAAATGGTGTGCTAACCATGGGAGATCAACTCATCTCCATTACACCAAATATAGGATTTGGTGAAAAAAATAGGGATGACCATGGGAGATGCTCTAAACAAAACTTATACAAACTCTACTTTGATTTGACATAAAGTAATTTATCTCTTACACAATTTATCTCACATAACAAACATGATTTGACATAAAGTTTTACACATCTTACACCTACAACCCAACTCTTCCAAAAAAACCTACACCTAATTTATTTCTCAAACCACTCTTTGAAAACCCAAACAAACAACATTACGCAAATCGAGACTATTTCACAAACCTCCACTACTCTCCCAAACTACTTTCCCAAACGCCAAACAAACATGCCCCATACTATTTTTTGACGATAATACACTGCGAAATTCGATCATGTGATGCCGTAAGGGCAAAACATCAAAATGCATTTTCCACCCAAATCGATATCATTTGTTGTAATTGACGCCAGTTTTTGGGAATCATTTATACCATTAAAAATGATCTATTTTTTCAAATTAATAAAATATCTTGATTAGAAAACTTGCACCTCTACTGTAAAGCCAATAAAATTATTTTAGATAAGATTTACTCTAATTTTTGAAAAAAAATATACTAGCATGAATCAATATTTCGATACGTTTCCCCTGAAAAAAACCGAAAACTTTTGTTTTTAAGTCAACCGATACAAAAAAGTAGAGTAATTTCTGCTTTGACATATTTTCTTTAATTTACAATTTTTCCAAATGTTCTCAAAAGTTTTCAAATTTTTTTCTAGAAATTCTTGATAAGTTTCCGATACTTAATTGATAGAAACATAGCACAAAAAAAAAACTTTAATTAATGTATACTAGAACAAGCAAATAAATTTTATGTAACTGGGTATATTAACAATTTAACACTAGCTAACAACATATCAAATTAATATATTCCAGCATTTCATTATTTATGTTGTGCAATGAATAAGTGCACACCACCTGAACGCATAACTTTTTTGGTGGAAAAAATTTTCAGCAGCAAGCATGAATCAACTCAAAAAGAGGGGTCTTTTTGTGGAGGGATTGACGTTTTTGCCGCAGTGTATTATCGCCGAAAAATTATATGAGGGGTTATGTGCTTAATTTGTAATATGAGAAAATAACTGCAAAAACTTACACTTTCAGGGGTTAAAGTGCTCTTATCCCTTCTAAAAATTAAGTTGAAGGATCCTTTGGTAAGAAGAGGAAATTAATATATATTCCATCATATTAATGAATTGGTTTCGTGGTGTTATCACGTCAGTTTAACACACTGAAGGTCTCCGGTTCGAACCCGGGAGAAGCCAAATTTCTTTTACTGTATACTGCATTTTAATTCACCGCCACATGTGTTTATTTTTCTTTTACTCATCATTTAAATAAAATAATTGAGAATTGAGCTTTGCATATTTGAGGAACCAACTAGGTAATGCTGAAACAGGTGATGAAGAGTTATCACTCATTTTATTAAAATCCTTTAATCAAGTTATTGATATTTCCTGATAGACGCTAATTGCCATGTTTAACTCTATTTGTTGACATTAAATATAAATATGAGATCATCAAATTTATCTGTAGCATTCTCAAGTAGTGTCGAAACATGGTAGAAACTTAAAAAAATGTGTTTAAAAAGCAAAGTATATTTCTTGTCCAAACTGAATGGAAATCCCATTGCAAACATCAAAGTTTCCTTGGATTCCCAAGATAAAGACTGATTCTAGTAATTAATATATTTGACCTTTAACTAGAAAAAAGGAAATTAAAGGACCACACACACACACACACAGAGAGAGATAGAAAATGAAATAAACCCAATGTTACTCATTCCCCACGAGTCTTGTTGAAGGAAAAAAGAAGAAGAAAATAAATGAAATGCCCCCAACATGAATTGGCGTCATCATCTTCCACAATGTAATTTATGGTATGTAATGTAACGTTGAGCAAATGTCGGTACCCAATCAAATCCCTCCACACACCTGTGATTTTATTGACACAATGAACGGTGGATTGTGTCCTTTTGCTAATAGCTACTCCAATTTTATTTTTTTGCAGAAATTGCTCTAAAGTACATTGATTGAGAACATTAAAGAGAAATTAATTAAATGGGTTTGCTGACAAACAGAGTGGAGAGGAGTGAAATCAAGGCAGGGGATCATATCTACACTTACAGGGCAGTCTTTGCTTACTCTCATCATGGTCAGTTTCTTTAATCTTGTTTCTGTTTCTGACTGAGTTATACTCTTTCTAGCTGTTATATATTTTCTTCATTTTCTTTTGCTGCATAATTTTCTTGAACTTGTGCAGAATTATTGGACTTGTAATTATGCTGCATAATTCTCTGTGTGTTGAATTTTTTCATTTCTGATGTTTGCAAAATTACCTGTGTGTTTTTGGTTTCTGCTTAATTAACTCTGAATTATGGAGTAATAAAAGCATTTCTAGTAAATGAGGGTCAAGTCAATTATATATACATATATATGTTGGAAATTATGTCCATTTTTGTTTGCTTAGTTTCCCCCAAGAATTTGTTCGTTCAAGTCCTTTTTCCTGAATTTCTTTTTGATCCTGAGTACTGTTATCTATATATCCCTTGTATTATCTAACTATGCAGGTATCTTTGTCGGAGGTAGCAAAGTAGTTCATTTCACTCGTGTCGAAACCTCCTCCAGCAACGAAGATTCATGTCCGAACAACTACCCCGACTGTGGATTCAGTCAGCCAAACAGCGGAGTCATCCTCTCCTGTCTAGACTGCTTCCTCAAAGACGGTTCCCTCTACGCCTTCGAGTACGCGGTGAGCCCGTCTCTTTTCATGGCCAAAGTACGTGGAGGCACGTGCACGACAGCATCATCCGACTCAGAAGAAACAGTCATTCACCGAGCAATGTACCTACTTCAAAATGGGTTCGGAAACTACAATGTTTTCCAAAACAACTGCGAGGATTTTGCTTTGTACTGCAAGACGGGGCTCTTGACCGTTGACCGGCTAGGAGTGGGAAGGAGCGGTCAAGCTTCATCTGTTCTCGGTGCACCACTAGCAGCCTTACTTTCCTCTCCTCTCAAGTTTTTGATGCCTAGTCCAGTTGGGGTGGCTACAGTGACTGCTGGAATGTATTGTGTGAGTAGGTATGCAACTGATATTGGTGTTCGGAGCGATGTCGTTAAAGTCGCCGTCGAGGATTTGGCTTTCAATCTTGGCTGGGGGGATTTTAATACTCAACAAGATCAACAACTTATCAAGTGATCGATCAATTCATGCAGCCATAGAAGAAATTAATTACTTAATTAAGATGCTATTTATTGTCCTTGCAATTTCTATTTTATTTTCCTCTAAACTTTCGACCTATATATTATGTTGAATTCGAAACATGTAGTTGAATATTTTGTTGGTCTACTGCAGTATGGAGGTCATTTGCAAATTACACTGCTGTGTTAGTCCTAATTATCAAATATACACTCGTTTTTTTCTTTTTTATTTTATTAACAAATAATTCCTTTGTATATTTACAAATTCGTATGGTATATTACACTTTTACACTCTATTTTGTCTAAAATGTAAAACTTAATTCATCCAAATTCATATAAATGCAAAATACCCACTGTGCTTTACCAAACTGGCAAAACCCAATGGTGTTGTTTTAATTAACAAAAACCCCTACGTGTTCTTTTTTTATTAGTAAAAAACCCCATTTGAAATTACTTCATAAGCCAATAGGGAAGTTATTATCAATTTTTTAAGTGAACTTACGGTTATTGCTAATTTTCATAGTTAACAGGGAGAGGGTATAATTGCCATTTTTACTGGAAAATATATATTCCGCTATGGTATGAAGTTTTTGCCAATAAAAAAATAACACATTGGAATTTTTGTCAATTAAATTAACACATTTGTTTCTTCCTCTATATAGACAAAGCATAAGGAGTATTTTTATGTTTCACTCCTGCAATATTAGATCAATTTGTTAGCAAGTTAAATGAACTTTCTGAGGTTATGTCGTCATCATATACACCACATAAAAGTTTAGAAAATAGTTGCAATAATTGCAAGGGATACAAAGCGTAGCCCAAGAACTCAATTCAATTATTTATTATACATAGTCAAATTGAAGGAGAAAATGTGACGGTAGCTGGACCTAACTCGTAAATAAATTAATTAGTCAACCGTGAAGGAGAAGAGGTCAACGTAACAAGCAAATTGAGAATACTATATATGACAAGAAGCAAAATCCAGGTGGGAAAGACAATTCGTGAAAATATATTCAATTTTCTAACACCCTCACTTACTTTTCAATTTTAAATTTGTAATTAATTAGATAAAGATAGAATAGTATGATGGAGTTTTTAATCAATATTAACAATTACGTGATCAGCTTCTTCTTGGACTATGTAGAAGTCAACTGCATATTTGAAAATTTGAATGACTTAAGCAAGTTATTTAATTTAAAACCAAAGAGATAGCAGTCCACAATTAATTTAGTTTTTTTTGTTTTGTTTTGTTTTGATACTATAAATGATATATCTTCAGTTAAAAAGATCTCAGTTTTCCAGAATGAAGAATGCCATTATTTCCCAGGCGGTGTCATCACATTTGTACAGTCCTGGTAACAAATTAGTAACAGTACTATTTCCTCAAATTAATGAAGGTGCTTTTGCTCCAATAATTCCTACCTAAATCTGTTTTATTTTATATATTTATTAATTTTACAATATTTCAGGTTGCAATGAAGCAATATTATCTGACATTCCTTGGCAAATAAGAAGCACCCAGCTGTAAGTTAATTTATGTTTAACTATATATATATATATATAACATTACAATGATCGATAATTAAAGAAATTATTCAAAATTATAATAATAACTTATACTATGTAGTATTTACATAACTGAACAGGAATAGCGGCTTGTGCATGGATGTAGACTTCTCCATACATTCTCAATTCCCATCTAATTACTATGAGTGCTCAGGTTAATTTGGTCAAAATTAATTGTTATGCATCTATATATCATTATATTTCTATCTGGTTAATTAATTAATGAAACAACCTCTTTAGTCCGACACGATTGAACCCACAACATTTAGTCCTGTGCTTTAAAATCAACACTTTTATCATTTATTTAATTAATTCCCTCTTTCCCATCCAATTTCATTTGGGACCAAAAGTGCAAAATAGAATGAGACTTAAAGTGCAAAAAATGGACAAAAAGGGAATGAGGGCGAGATGCATGTGCAATATTTCTTTTAACTTGTTACCAAAAGTTGTTATATACAGTGTTTATGATAGTGCGGGATTAAAAGTACTGGAATGTCCAGTCGTTTGGAACTAAAAAATACAATTTTGCCCATGATATATATACCCCAGCTAGAATTATAATATTCTTGTTAGCTAATTTTTTTTTGTCCTTCAAATTTTCCGGATCATCCATATATAATCCCAAAACCAAAACTTAATCAAGTAGAAAATCGCCGGAGTTCCCTTCAGCATGTACATGATGATGCCATCTTTCAGTCACCATATGGGAGTAATTATGTTCATCAGAGTGAAAGTTCTGTTAATTCTGTATGTATATATTTTCATGTTTTATACTATTATTTATATATATATATATATATATATATATATATCAGATAGAGTTAAATAAACAATGTATATTTTGAAGTATTTATTAGCAGAACCCTTCCCCCCCTTCCTTTTTCTTAAGTTAGCAAATGACCTCATTTAAAAATCCTTTATAAATCATTGAGAGGTTATTGTCAATTTTTTAAGTGAAAAATGAGGTTAATGTCAACTTTTAAAGTTAAGAGGGGGATTGTTGACAATTTCTTATGTGAATATGGATATTTTTGCATATTTTGGTGGAGATATAATTATTATTTTAGCTTAAGAGGAAATTTTTTGATAATAAAAATAATACAAGTTTTTTTTTTTTTTTAATTAGACAAAGCATAGGGGAGTATTATTGCATTTTACTCTCATATATGAGATAAAAAGATGATCCGCGACAATTCAATTGAATAAGTATGAGTAAAGGATCCATGGATGCGCACATAAATCATAAGTATTAATTGATTTTGTTTTTTCAGCTGATGATTCAAAATGCAAGAAAGCGTTCAGCCTGTGACGATGTTACTATACAAAATACAATTAGACATAGTAGTAAGAAAAGGAGTCAAAGAGATGCAGATAAGGTATAATTTTCATATAAAATAATATTAGTATCACATTTTAGATCCTTTTACGTACCAATCATATATTATATAATAATATTAATTACTAGTTCTTAGGAAAATTTATAGAGTCCCTGATTA